TCCTCTCCATCTCCCATCAGCCTGTGTGGTGACACTCAACCCGTGAAGTAGGACCTGCCTCCCACTGGGCAGAGCCCCGTTCATTTCTGGGTCCCCAGGACTTGACAGGCAGGAGAGGTGCTGGGGGGGTGGGGCATGAGGTCTGTCTGTGGGACTTTGCTCCCTCTCTGGGCCTCATTTCCCTCCTCTCTTAAAGAAGACCAAGGAGCTCTTGGAGGACTAGGGCTCCCCTGACGCACGCCAGGGTAGTTTCAATTGCTCACATGTATGTGAAGGTGGGCCTTGGGTAAGGAGGCCTGAATGCTGCCTCTGAATGCCGGTGCGGGTGAAGAATCAAGAAAGTGTCACAGACCGCCGAAGGACCATCACGATTGCCCTGAAAGAAGTCCAGCCAGAATGCTCCTTAGAGGCCATGACGGCGAAAGTCAGTCTCACGGACTTTGGACACGCTGTCAGGAGAGACCAGTTTGGTGGAGTAGAGGGCAGCGGACCACAGGAAAGCCCCTGGCAAGATGGACGGACGCGGTGACTGCAGCCATGGGCTCAGGCATTTGAGCCATTGTGAGGATGGCGCAGGGCCGGGTGGTGTGTCATGCTGATGCCGACTCGATGACACCTAACAAGAAGGAACCCAAGTTGACCTAGTGGGTGAGGAGCTGAACTGCTAACCATAAGGTCAGCTGTTCAAGACCACCAGCTGCTCTGTGGGAGAAAGGCCAGGCTTTCTACTCCCATGAGAGTGGGATTCAGAAACCCACGGGGGCATGCCCACCCTACCCTGTAGGGTCTCTCTGAGTCAGGATTGACTCGGTGGCAGTGAGGAGGAGCCGTGGAGGTGCAGTGGTTGAGGTCCTGGCTGCCAAACTAAAGGTTCAACCCCAACAGCCTCTCAGAGAGAAAGAAGTAGCCCACTGTGCCTATTAAGTCAGAGCCCCCATGGTATTGACTTTGGCTGGGTGCTTGCTGCCCCCTGCTGGCCGAGTGTCCCGTTTGCCTGGAGGCTGGACTTGGGCCACGCCAGGTGCCCATGGGTGCAAACAGGGACTGAGCCTGCCCCTCCCCAAGGCTCAGACAGATGGCAGGACTACACGGAGATCCCTGAGGGCTTCTGAAGGACCTCTTTCCCGCAGGAGGCGGGGGCCCACCTCAGAACAATTGAATCAGAGCCGGATCTGTGGTGCGGCCTGCTGGCTCTCGTGGGTGCCCCAAGGTACCAATTGAGGGTGTGTTTGGAAGAGCCCAGCAAGCACAGGATACATGCAGACCTGGCTCCCTACCGCAAAAGGCCCTTGATTGTGGCGGCGAAGTGGCATCGAGCTGGCTCCGACTCACAGCCACCCTACGTAGGACGGACGGACGGGTCTGGGGGGTCCCCTGCACACAGAGAGCAGCAGGCTGGCTCGGGGTTCGGTCTGTACACCCAGCAATGGGTGTCCACTAGTTAAGGTCGGGATGCGGGGAGGGGTCTGTGAGAAGGCCCAGAGCGGCCGTGCAGACTTGCAACCAGCATTCAGGGAGCAGCCGCCCATGGGCATCCCACAATCACCACTTCGAAATGTCCACAGTGATAATGTGTGCCCATCGTCAGCCCCGCTGCGCCACCTTGAGTGAGAGCGGTCGTCTGCGGGGAGGCCGTGGATGGGACGTGGAGGGGAGGGGGTGCTCACTCACCCTACATTGGGAAAGGAGGTGAACGGGAGAGGAGGAAGTGTGGACTACACCGTTCCCCTGTGGGAATGTCACAAAAGGAGTATGAATCGTGGCATGGAAATCCCACTTCTCCCCGAACTTTCACCCACGTCCAGGCGATGGGAAAGAAGGCCCGTGGAGAAGCCGATGCTCTGGGGCTCCGTCTAAGGCAACGTCCCTCCTCTGTCCCGCCCTCTCCCTCAGGCTGAGCCCGGGTACCGCAGCCTACAGGACGACCTCCCCTACCTGGACATGGTGATTGCAGAGACCTTGAGACTGTACCCACCCGCTTTCAGGTATGCCCGGGGCCTCCCCTGCACCCCAGGAGCCTGCAGCACAGGGTGCCACCAGCACAAAGCGTTCCACCTGCTGGGCACAAGCTGCAGGGCTGAGCCTGTCTTGGGCTTCTTTGTACCTCCCAATACTCAGCCACAGCGAGCGGGCAGTGCATGTCCAGCGTACCAGGCCTTTCCTTTGTTGGGCTTCGGCAATCAGTCGATTCTCTCCCAACTGAGGAGAATGGAAGTCCGAAATCAGGTCATCCACTCCAGAAATCCACGTCTGTCTGTCTGTCTGTCTCTTTTTCTCTTGAGCTAAGACCTTACCTTCTTTCAACATCTGTGGACCTGGCCATCCTTAAGATCCTGAGGTGTCTTGGCATAGACCATCTTGAATCGCAGAGCTTCCCAACACAGGGACCCCGAGTAACAGGATGCCTTCCTGCTCCTGGCTCTTTCTTCTTGGGGTTCTGAGACCCCTCGCTGGTCTTTTCTTGACTTGGCCAGTCTCCCGAACCCCAGTCATCTCTTCATCCTCCTGACCACAGAGGCTCTACCATCCCCTTTCCCACTCACTCACTTGTTCTCTCAGCTGATGTTTATTAAACATCTATGATGGGCCAATCACTGGGAATCAACTGGGTACAGAAGAAATAAGAGCCCCTGTCCTGTGGAGCCGATACCCCCATGGGGGGACCCTCACAGTTCTCAGCAGTCCACCCCTACCAGTCCTCTGGCTCAGACACAACTCCTACACCTGCAATGCCCCTCCTTCACCCCTTCCACTCCCGTGTCTCTGTAGCAGGGGACTTCTGGTTCTACTGTGGGGCATGTTCCAGGAGCTCCAACACCTCACCAGTGGGCAGTCACATCAACCTGTGGCAGTCACTCCACCTGTAAGATGACAGGGACATCAACCTGTGACAGTCACAGCCACCTGTAATGTGACAGTCACAGCCACCTGTAATGTGACAGACACAGCAGCCAGGTCTTCTGCTTCCTAAAGGAGGGGCCCTCCTGAGACTAGACTCTCAATCTCGGTCCCCGGGCCCTGAGATAGTGTCTGGGGTTCCGTTTCTAGGAGCAGAACGGGCACAGAGCATTCCGCCATTGTCACGGATTGAACTGAGCTTCCTCGCCCGGAAGCAGTCATCCCTGGTGCCTGTGAACATGGCTTCGCTTGACACCAGGTCTTCACAGCTGGCCCCTGTTGGGTTCTCAGGAGGTGGAATCAGAATATGGTGGCTCCTAAAGCAGTCGGAGGCAGTTCTTCCAAGAAAAGAGGAAACAAGACAGACAGAAGGAGGGTGGTGGCAGAGATGGGGTGATGCCCCCCCGCAGCCCACCAGCCACCACCAGACAGAAGTTGGGCAAGAGGCAGCTTCTCCCTCCGAACTGGTGTCTCTGATGCAGGACGGAGGCCGGTGACGCGGGATGAGCTCCTCAAATGCCCTCATCAAGGCCCTGGCATGTGGACGCTTGGGCGTGACACAGGCCCTGCCCCATCTCAGCCTGTCCCTCCTGCACTGTGCGATATCGACCAAGCCCATGTGTTCTGCTGACCCCACGTGTTGAGTGGGAACACCATGTGCTTAGGGTTGAGTTGTGTGCCCTGAGAGGATGTGCTGAATCAGCTGCAGTAACTCCAGTGTCGCACACACACCTGCTCCCAAGGCAGACCATCAGGGTCCTTAGTACCGTGCACTATCCATTTAAGTCAGAGACTTGGCGATCGACAAAACTGCGTTGTTAAAATGTCACATTTCTTAGCTCATAAGAACACTAACAACTCCCAGAAATACAAGCAAGCCCCTTCAGACACCTGACCGTTGGTGAAGTCCTCAACACGTGAGGTGGGGGAGATTTGGCCTTTTCAATAAACGGTCTGAAAACACTGGATCTTCCCCAGCAGAAGACTGAAACAGGGCCCATCCTTCACTCCTTGTATCAGAAAAACCTAACTAAACCGCACAACCACAAAGACCATCAACAACAACAGGGAAAACCTATGAGCCCTAATTCGAGGTATAAAGACGCTACTGAGCATAATCAAACCTATCCTCACTCTAGAAGGCAAAATAGAGGATTTGGACCTTCTAGAAATACAACATCGGTGTACATCGAAAGACTTCATCAAAAGAGTTACGAGAACTCACAGACTCGGGGGGGAAATATTGAGCAATTATATATCATCAGATAATGGGCAAATTTCAAAAATCTATAGAAAACAGCATGGAACCCTCCCTGGTGGCGTAATGGTTTCTTGTTGGGCTTCAATCCATGAAGTCAGCAGTTTGAAACCATCAACCTCTCCGCAGGAGAAAGATGCGGCTTTCTACTCCCGTTACCAGTTACGGCCTCCGAAACTCTCAGGGAGTCCTACACTGTCTACAGCATGACGATGAGTCGTCTTCTGCTGGATGGTGTGAGTGAGTGGTGAGTAAGAGAAAACTACGACACCTTAATAAGGAAAATACAAACAACTCAGTTTTTAAAATGGGCACAAGACACGGATAGACATCCAGGTAGCCAACGATCATATGAAGAAATGTTCACATTCATTAGCCATAAGAGAAACACATATTAAAACAACAAGATACTACCTCACACCAACACTCTCAGCAATGTTTTAAAAAGCAACGACAATAGCAAAGTTTTAAAGAACACCACCAACAGGAAGTACTAACTGTGGGCAAGGAAGTGGAAAGACTAGGAGGATTGTACAACCGCTACGGAAACCAGTCTGGAGCGCCCTTCAACAAATGTAAACACAGTATCTTATGATCCGGGAACTCTCTACTTGGGATATACCCTAAAGCACAAAAACAAAACACAGACAGACATATGCACACCCATGTTTATTGCAGTTCATTTCTCTAAGAGCAGAAAGATGGAGACAATCAAAAACTTTAATGCAGTGCTTCTCAACCTTCCTCATGCCGCCACCCTTTCATAGTGTCTCATATGGTGGTGACCCCCCAACTGTCACATTATTTTCATTGCTATTTCGTAACTATAATTTTGCTACTGTTATTAATCTGGCGACCCCTGCGAAAGGGTCACTTGACCCCTACCCAAATGGGTCACGACCCACAGGTTGAGAACCACTGTGCTAATGGATAAACAAACAGGTACAGGTACATTCAACCTTTAAAAACAAAGACAACTCCGTCAAACACCTTAAGACATGGACACAATTAGAGAACATGATGTTTAGCAAATTTAGTCAGTCTTCTAAAGATAAATACTTCATGACACCATTATTATAAAGGAAAAGAGAGAAAGGTGGTTTTCAACCAAAAGATAACGCTTTACTAACTTCGCCGAGGCCGGGGTCAGGAGGGAGTGGGGCAGAAGGAAGGGACAGGAAGCCGTGGGAGGAAAAGAACGTTTTAAAAGAGCCACACGGGCAGCAGGATGAATGGGATGCTGCCATTGGTTTAGTTTGAGGAGAGGGGAATATGTTTTTCTTTGTAAATATTATATTCCACACACAAAAGGGAAAAATAAATATACGTATATAAATAAATACAGGTGTTTCTCTGTTGCTTTGTTTCTAAGAGAGAGAGGTCCCCCAGCCCGTAAGTCCCTGCAGACTCCTTGCCCTCCCATCTGACCGTTGGTCTGAGCGGCTATTCAAGGAGGACAAGTGAAACTGGGACCGGACTTGGATTCTTCTGTGCCGGACAAGTTCGTTTCAAACAAACAAAACAGTAACCAGGAAAGTGCTTTCTAAAATCGATCCATGCGGAGTGACAGCAATACTAGCAACTACGCAGAGCCGCTAAAAGTTTCTTCTCCTTCTCCTTTCTTTAGAAAAAATTATAAAGAGATATAATTATATATTTAATTATACTGAAATATCCTATCATTCACACACATCGTTCAGTCACACCCAGCAGAATGGTACACTTGCCACCACAATCAGTTTCCAAACATTCTTTTTCTACTTGGACCCGTTGACATCTTCTCCCTTTCGCTCCATCTCCACCACCATCTCCCCGCAAAACCCTTATTCTACTCACTGTCTCTATAGGGCATCAATCCTGGGTTTCAAACATCAAAACACGGAAAAACATTTAACGCATCTTCTCGAAGGTGACCTCCAGGGATGATACCTCCTTTTCCTCTCACTGCTCCTTCATCCCCCCAAAAGTGATTGGCACAGATTCACAAATACTCGGCACTGCAGTGTTGTAGCCACGACACCAGAGAATTCCACAAATCCAACGAGTCTTGAGACTCCGAGAACGATAGCCCATGCTGGCGGTGCCTGCAGACAGAACCACGACCCAAAGTGTCCATCCACAGGTCCTCATGACAGCCGACAGGGGCGCATCCAAAACACCCATGCTCGCTGTCAACCCCACAGGACATGGCATAACTGGCTCCTGAAGGTTTCCGAGGCCGTAGCTCTTCATGGGAATAGAGAGCCGCAGAGGGGTTGCTGGTTTCGAACTGCTGACCTTGGGGTTAGTAGTGGTTACCAACAGGTGACCACTATGCCACCAGGGTTCCTCCACGGGGATACACTTGCAGTGGTTCTCAACCTTCCTCATGCCATGGCCCTTTCCTACAGTTCCTCATGTGGTGGACCCCCCCAACCGTAACATTATTTCCTTTGAAGTTGCTACTTCATAACTAATTTTGCTACTGTTATGAATCAGGAAACTCCCATGAAAGGGTCGTTCAACCCCCAAAGGGGTTGTGGCTCACAGGTTGAGAACCGCTGTTCTAAAGAGTAAAGCAACACAGAGATTGAGCCATGTGGTCAACGAGTACATGTAAGCTCGAACTTACAGGAACTGCTTTTGTGAGCTAACTGCAGGAATCAGTCCATTAAAAACGGTGACTGTCGCTGCAACACAGCATGGACATTGTGTAGCTCATCGTTTCAGTGTCACCCAGTCCGCATCGCCACCCCCACCCCCAGCAACACCACCACGTGGAAGTCCCAAGCCCTATGAAGGCCGCCCTGGCTGGAAACCGGGTGTTCCTTTGCTGCTGTGTTCATGAGGTCATGCTGGAGGAGGCTTGCTCTAAACCTCAGAAGGTCTTTCTGCGTGGTGCCTCAGAAAGGGGGCCCACAGGTGGCGCAGCGGTGAAGCGCTTGGCTGTGTAACGGAAGGTTGGCAGGTCGAACCCACCTAGCACGTTCGAGAGTGGTCGCCCTGGTGATCTTCTCCCAGCGCCTAAGAACAGTCAACAGGAGACACACACAGGAGACAAGGTGCCCCCTGAGGACGCCGGGCTGCCGGGGCTGCCAGACTTGCATCGACGTGATGGCAGTGATGGAGTTGTTTGAGCTGAAAATTAAAGGAGAAAGTAATTTAAACAACAGTAAGTGTCAAGTTACATAAACTAACGAACAACAAAAATATAAAACAATCTTGTCTGCAGCCTGTGAGACAAGTACCCCCTGCTCTTGAAAGGCACCTGGAGACGACTCCTCTGTGGCCCCCACGCGGGCTCTGGCAGCAGCCACTGGACGGGGCATGCAGCAGGCTGACGTGGAGTGCGGATTTCACCTGAGGGGCGAAGGCCACCTGCAGGTCCCCTTTGATCTTGTGGCAGCCTCTCTGAGAGGCCCTCCGTAGCCCGGTCAGCTGCTGTCTCTCAGCAGCACTGAGCAGGGCAGGTGGGCCGTGTCACCAGCCGGCCTGGACACAGATGGGGCTGTCAGCGGGCTGTTCATCCGTCCCACTGTGCTGTGGTCACCTGCGTCTGTTTCCACCCTGCTTCACTTTCCTCTTCATCTACGTATTTTGCACTTATTAAAATTATTTTATTCTTTAGATTACTTGCTTTTAAAAAATGTTCTTCTTTCCATTTTAATTCATTTAATATATTTTAATTTCACTAATTTAATTTGTTACCTGAAGATGATTTGCCTTTAAGATTATTCTAATTATTTTGTTTTTATTATACTTTCATTTTATTACTTTTGTTTTATACTTATGTCAGCTTAATTACTTTTAAATACTTTATATTCTTATTTATTTTGTTTTTATACATTTCATTTATTTTATTTAAAAGCTACTTATTCAAATTATTTTATTTTATTACTTACTAAATGTTTTAAATCTTACTTATTTTAATTTCTACTTCACTTTATTTTAATGCTTTTGCTCATTTAAGCTTACTTATTCTATTATTTACTTTTACTTAATTCATTTTTAATTTGTGTATTTATTTTATTAGTGTAACTATTTTTACTTTATTGGGTTAATTTACTGTATTTTTATTTATTTAGTCTAATTTTCATGTACTTTTCATATTCAATTATGTTTCTTTTATTATGTTTATTTCATTTTTATTTAATGTAATTATTTCTTTTACTTAACTTCACTTTTGTTTGTTTTATTTATCTGATATAATTTTTATCTTAAATTTATTTTTTCTAAGTATTTTATTTCTAATAACATTTTCTTTTATAAAATTTTAATTATTATTTAAAATTATTTTATCTTATATTTTTTTATTTTGTTAATTTATTTAACTTTGTTTACTTGTATTTAAAATTATTTTCTCATTTACTTTAATTTTCAACTCAATTCACTGCCATCAAGTCAATTCCAACTCATAATGACCCTATAGGGCAGGGTAAAACTGCCCCTGTTTCTGTGATTCTAACTCTAACTCATACAATTCTCCTGTGGAGCGGCTAGTGGTTTCAAACTGCTGACCTTATGGTTACAGCCCAATGTGTAACCACTGCACCACGTTAATCTTAGATCTTAATTTATTTGATTATCTTAATGTTATTTTTAATTATTTATCTTAATTTAAATAGTTTTTTGTTTTACTAATTTTAATCTAATTGATTTAACTATTTTAGTTACAGTATTTTAAATTATTTTACTATTTATTTGGATTAGTTATTTTATTTCAACCCTTAATGCTTCATCTTTATTTTAAACTTTAAAATTATTTTCTTTTATAATTTAATTTGATGTTGTCTTATTTTGATCTACATTAACTTTTTATTTTATATTTAATTTGTTTTAAATTCTATTTTATATTATATTATTTCATTCTTTTATTTCAGTTTCATTACTTTTAAATGTATGCATTTTATCTATGATTTTAAAACATTCTTGTATTAGTGCAGACGTTATTTGACTCCGTGTTATCATGAAAAGCATGCTGACTTGCCTCACGATGGCGCTGTCCAGAGAAAGCCGGAACAGTGCTCCTTTGAGGGTTCTGCTTTCAGCGCAGCTGACTGGGTGGGCTCTGGTCTCCCCGGGCACCACCATGCTGATGCGGGAGATCAAAGGGCAAGGCCTTCTGCTGCCTGCCTGCAGCTGCACCCATTTATCGCATCCCCGCCCTCCTGACTCCCCCATCTCATCCTGACTGGAAGGACAGAGATGGGCGCTGCCAGGCCCCAGGACGCACGTGCGTCGTCACAGCGTCTCCTCTATGAGATGAGAATTGAGCCCTGGAAGTACATGGGTGATTTTAAAGGAGTAGTTGATGACAGACCCACTGATGGGTATTTTTTTTAAGTTATTTTATTGGGGGTTCATACAATTCTTATCACAATCCATACATACATCATTGTGTCAAGCACATTTGTACAGTTGCTGCCATCATCATTCTCAAAGCATTTGCTTTCTACTTGAGCCCTTAATAACAGCTCCTCATTTTCCCCCTACCACCCTGCTCCCCCTCCCTCTTGAACCCTTGAGAATTTATAAATTATTATTTTGTCATATCTTACACCACTGTCCGACATCTCCCTTTACCCACTTTGCCACTGTCCATCCCCCAGGGAGGAGGTTATATGTAGATCCTTGTAATCGGTTCCCCCTTTCTACCCTATCCTCCCTCCACCCTCCCAGTATCGCCACTCTCACCACTGGTCCTGAGGAGTTCATCTGTCCTGGATTCCCTGTGTTTCCAGTTCCTATCTGTACCAATGTACATCCTCTGGTGTGGCCAGATTTGTCCGGTAGAACTGGGATCCTGATAGTGGAGGGAGGAAGCATTTAAGAACTAGAAGAAAGTTGTATGTTTCATTGTTACTACCCTGCATCCTGACTGGCTCGTCTCCTCCCCACGACCCTTCTGTAAGGGGATGTCCACTTGCCCACAGATGGGCTTTGGGTCTCCACGTTGCACTCCGTCCCCCCCACCCCCCAGTCACACTGATATGATTTTTTGCTGATGAGTATTTTTAAAAGCAACCCAGAAGCAGTGAGGTTGAATCCTGGGGGCAAAGTAGACCACAGTCACGGTTAGCTAATAGCCACGCCTTTCTTCCAGACCCCTCTGGTTGGCTCAAGCCATCAGGAGTGGAACACCTAACCACTTGTGACCCCCACGGACAGCACAGCCCTGAGGGGTCCACAGAAATGTGACCCTTGGCCCCACCCCCTCCCCCAGTCCTGAACTGCATTCTTCACGCGCTGCCTCCGGCAGGTTCACTCGGAAGGCAGCGAAGGACTGCGAGCTCCTGGGCCAGCCCATCCCCGCTGGAGCAGTGCTAGAGATTGCCGTGGGAGCCCTGCACCATGACCCCGAGCACTGGCCAAGTCCTGAGGTCTTTGATCCTGAGAGGTAAGCCACCCTCCATGGGCCCTGGGAGCAGAGGCTGGCAGCAGGGGTGTGATGATGGATGGGGCCAAGCCACCATCGAGACCAGGAAGTGCCACCCGATGCAGGGTCTCGTTTGAAATCGGGTTCTCTGCGACACACACCTTAGTACCAACACTCCCGAGCCTACTGCCAAGGGGATGCGTCTAACGCATAGCAGCCCCGTGGGACACAGCAGAACTCCTGAGACCGTGACTCATTACAGGAACACACTGCCTGCCTTTCTCCCACAGAGCGGCGAGAGGATTCCAACTACCTACGTCTCAGTCAGCCCAGTCAGCCCACTCCCTCACCTGTTCCACCTACTGCCAGGTGGAACTGGCAGTTCCACTCAATTCCCAGCGGCCCTGTAGGGGGTTTCTGACAGTTAGTCCTTCTAGGCATCGACAGCCGCACCTTTTTTCCACCAAGGGAGCGGCTGGGGGTTTGAGCTGTTGGCTTTGCCGCAGCAGCCCAGCGCCTCAACCTCAGCACCACCAGGGCTCCAAAATGTCCAGAAACCACGCGATGCAAAGGACATCACCGCCCCACTTTAAACACCTCCACCCACCCAGCCAGCGGGTCACTGCTGGCCACCTCAAATGCTTGTACCTGTCCACCAGGTTGGCCTGTCCACCAGGCATGTCGTAGAAGGGAGCAGGCCAGTGTCTTTCTCAAAGGGTGGCCAGTCTTCAAGAACAAGGATTGTCATTGCTCGGTCCGGTGGCTCAGAGCTGGGCAGTGAAACAACTCCTGGGGTTTCTGAGGCCATTCATCTTGGGGGGGCAGGGCACCACGTCGCTCTCCTTCCGCACTGCTGGTGGGTCCACACCAGCAGCCCCTCATTCAGCCAGCAGTCATGTGCTTCACCATGGCACCACAAGGGGGTTGTCCTTTCTAGAATTTTTTTTCCCCCAAAACCATTTTATTGGGAGCTAATACAGATAGCTTATCATTCCCCAGTTCGATCGCATCGGGCAGTGTTGCACAATTGCTACCACAATCCATTTGAGAACCTTTTCCTTCTTGAACTCCTTGACATTGGCTCCCTTCTACCCCACCCCCCCCCACCCCCACCACTGTACCAACCCATCCCCACCCCGAGAAACCCTATAGGTTCATCAATCCTGGGTTTCATATACTGAAAAACGGGGAAAAACCATGCCGTATATACTCGTGTATAAGCCGAGTTTTTTCAGCACATTTTTAATGCAGTTTTTGTGGTAAAATTAGGTGCCTCGGCTGATATTTGGGGGTTTATACTGGAGTATATACAGTATAACAAAAATCTTAAGAGGGCCACCCCCAATGACAAATACAACTGAGATAAACTCCAATATGAATATATGAAGAAAAACCCATAAAATGTTGAAAACAGATCAGGCCCACATGCATCAGGGGCTCTAGAACAATCAGTATCAACCTTCTCCACCCTTGAACGGGAACCAGGGAGGTTTAACCCTGCTGAGATGGGAACGCTGGACCACCCTCTTGCCCGCACCCTCACTCACGTGGGCACTGCATTTCTGATTTGACACCCCCATCCCCACCCTGAGGCTCCCTGGCTTGGTAGTCTGGTGGGCGCTGGACCTGCTGGCCCGAGGCATCCACCTGTAGCTGCTCCAGCTTTTCAGAAGGCTGCCTGACTGTGCTGGGTCCCAGAAATCCATGGCCAATGGGAGACATGATTCACCCAGTGCCCACCACCACCACTACCCGGGCAGCTGCGGGGGCTCCAGGACACATGGAGGCTGCCCACCTGAGGCCACACGATGGTGCCCGCTTTGCAAACAGAAGTGGGCTTGTATACCCTGGGAAGGGCTTCCCCGGGGCCCCCCAGGCCCACAAAGTCCAGCATGGGAAACAATGGGTGTCTGAGAGCTTCGGTGGAACGGAGCGGAGTCGGTTCTGCTGCCACCTGCTCTCCCTGGATGCAGCCACCTAACCTGTGCCCAAGAACCCGAGCCGGGGCTAGGGCGTGGGGCAGTGGGAGGAGCTGCCCTGGGGACCCTCGGCCCACCGGCGAGGGTCTGTGCCACGACCAGAGGACCTGAGTATGATGGGAGAGACGGGTCAGACTGGTCTGCAGTGTGGCCCCGTGACAGTGGCCAGGCAGGAGGCGGCAGAATGGCCACCAGGCAGCGGAAGGGCTTCCATTAGGAAGGGATGTCTGTCACCTCTGGGGTAGGCCTGGGTGGGGGCCAACTGTGGGGCCCAGCTAAGGCCAGGAGGGCAAGCTCTGGGGTTCAGACTGTGTAGAGCAAGAGGGTGCAGTGGGCACCAAGGTCTTGACCACCCCAGGGCCTACAGGCTTCATACAACGCTCGGCGGTGGCTGGCTGCACAGGGGAGCCAGTGGATGGGGGCGGGGCGGGCATGGCAGGGACTGCACCCATCTGGTCGCTGGCCAACCCGTGACCCCACCCATAGGTTCTTGGCAGAGGCGCAGCGGCAGCGGCGGCCCTTCACCTACCTGCCCTTTGGGGCGGGCCCACGGAGCTGCCTCGGGGTGCACCTGGGGCTGTTGGAGGTCAAGCTGGCTCTGCTGTCGGTGCTGCGTGCCTTCCGCTTCCAGGCCTGTGCCCAGACCCAGGTGAGGCTGCCCCTGATCCTCTGCACTACCCCACCCACCCCCACCCCCCGAGTGGGATCAGGTGTTTCCTCATCTGGAAAAGGGTGTGGGCGCAGAGGGTGGGAGCAGCAGCCAGGTGAGGGCAACAGTCCTTGAGGGTGCCCAAAGGTGCAAGGGTTCCCTCTCTGGGGCTAGGCCAAGTCAGCCAAGAGGGGCATGGCATCTCTCCAGCCCCGCCCTCTGGACATTCCCACTCACCACCAGTCCCCAACGGCCACCATGTGCCCCTAAGGCTGTCACCCAAACTGACTTCCCGTAATGATCCCTGGTGGTGCAGCGGGTTAGGCACTGGGCTCCCAACCACAAGGTCAGCAGTTTGAAACCACCAGCCACTCCGATGAAGCTTTCCACGCCTGTAAAGTTACCAGCTGTGAAAACCACAAGGGGCGGGGCGGTCCTACTCTGCCCTGTAGGGTCTGAATTCCCACCTCAGTGTCCACACTCAGAAACTCAGGTGCCATTCCACTGTCTGACCACTGCTCCCCGTGAAGCTCATACCATCACCCCAGGTCCTCACACCTTCCTCCAGGGAGCCCCCCTTGACCAGATGACCCTCTGCCAGCAGTTGGAGCAGCACAGGCCCTTCTGCGTGGTCTGCACAGCACAGCCTCTGTGAGCCCTGTGGGGCTGCTCAAAACTTACTTTCATTTTAAGTACTGACATATGAACATGCATTAATAATGAAGGGAAACCACCCACAGCAACCCCTGTGGACCCTCAGAAATGGGTACATGACAGGGGCCCCACAGCACCTGTCCAGGGACAGGCCAGCCCCCCAGTGAAACGCAGAGGAAGAGGCTGGCAGGTTGGGCTCAGCTTCCCCCCACATACACCAGGCTGGCATCTCTGGACCACCATGTCACCAGCAGGTGCTCGATGCTGTGGGACAGGAGGGACAAAACTGCTCCACTGACTCTGTGGGAGGCGAGGTCCCACGTAAGGGGGTGTGGTGGCCCCTGGCAGTGTCCACAGACCCTGCCCGAGTGCCTCCCACTGGCAGCCACCTTTGAACCCACCACAGTTGCTTGCCTCTACTTCAGGTTCCACTGCAGCTGGAATCCAAGTCCGCCCTAGCTCCCAGACATGGAGTCCACATCAAGATTGTGACCCGCTGACCCCCTTGGAGACTGTCCCGCACCCCCATCCCTGAGCGTGATAGCAGGACCCAGATGGGAGCCTGCAGGAACGAGGGTGTCGGCAGAGCCTTCTTCAGCTGAATAAATGTCTGTTTTTGCACTTGGCATTGACCTCGTCAACTGTGTTTGAGTCATTGGGTCCCTGCCCCATGAGCAGAGCACCCACATGGCCTGGGTACCCCCAAGTGCAATGCCAGAGATGATGCCAAAGTGCTGTGAGGCCTCGCTGGCCTATTCACAGTGTCAGTGCCAGCAGGCGGTGCGGGCTTAGCTCACTGGATTCACAGGCCTGTGCCTTCGGGGCAGTAGATGTGTTTGCTGCAGGGGTGTCTCAGCCTCTGCTGCTTGGCCTTCCCCACTGTAGTCCTCCTCCGACACCCCTAACCCACCCACCCCCAGCCCATGAGGTATGCAGTGCACACACCAAGAGCACCCATACACCCACACTCCATATTTGCAAGCATTAGCACACACACAAGTATGTATGGCCAGACCCAGAAACTGAGTTTCATGGAGGGAGACACAGCTCCCCAACATCTCTGTCCCCGACTACACACATCCGGTCCCCAGCATGTACTCAGGCACAGTAGGTGCTCAGTAAACAGACACTAGTGGAGCCTGGTCTTGGACTCTCAGGGGAGTCTTTATTTCCAGCTCTTTGGGACATTTGCAGCAGCAGGATTACAATCTCCTGAGGCCACAGCACCCACTCGGGCTGCACTGGGTGCCCAGGGTGCAATGGAGATGTTGGGTGCACACTCAAACCCAGTGAGGATCCTCAGGGCCACCTCTCATGCCCCAGGACAAAGGAGCCCCCCCCCCCCAAGGTAGGAGGACACCACACAGTTCAGACAAGGCCATGCAGGCCAGAGCACAGCTGAGTGAGCCTAGGCAGTAGGCAGCCAGGCTGCACCCTCCCCACCCTCACCCAGTGCTCTCAGGGTCAGGCGTCTCCTCCAAAAAGCAAAACCAGCACAAGGAGGCCCAAGATCATGGCACAGACAGAAAAATCCTAAAATTTAAAACAAATCCATAAAACCCTTTCTAGGAATCTCTACCTGGTGCCAATAAGCAGCAAAGTCAACAAAGAGTAAAACAAAATCTAAAACACTCTTAAAAAGTAAAGTCAGGCTCCCCACTCCCCCCACGGCCTGCCAGCTGGGCTGCCCCAAAGCCCAGGACATACGGCGGCCTTAACAGCAAACGCCAGGCTCCTCAGAGATTAAGATGCTGCTTCAGGGAAGTCAACACGGAACCGACAGTTCATATTAAAAGCTTTCTGCTCATAAAAAAATTGAAAGTAAAAAGAGTCCCCACCCCCGGCCCCTAGTGTTGGGGAGATGAGCTCAGCGGCTGAGCCATCACCAGAGAGCCACGCGAGGCGAGCTCCCGATGGTGGCGGTGGCGGTGGCGGCGGCGGCAGCGGCAGCCACCGCGGAGATGGTTGCGGCAGAGACCGGGGGCAGCCTGGCGCTCGTGGTGTACTGGATGAGGTACTCGGGGTAGATCTGGTGCTTCTCGAAGACCACAAAGATGGACGGGTCAGACATGCTGTTGACGCAGCTGTCATAGAAGGCGGCGCTCTGGCGCTCCTTGGCCGGCGGGCGCACATAGGTGGAGCAGCCGCGGACAAACTCGCCGACCAGCACGCGGGCCAAGAACATCATGTGGGATTGCGCACGGACTTCGCTGTAGTGGTGGGAGTACGCCGCATCACGGGCAAAGTAGCTCCCTGCAAGAACACGGGCCAGGCAGGGCTCAGGCCAGGGCTGGGGGAGGAGGGGGGGTGTCACCCCACCAGGCTGTCTCTTCCCCTCCTCTCACCCTGCACTTCCCTTTTTAAAAACTAGACATCGATGGTGGTGGGGATGAGGTGTGTGTGGAGGTGTGCGTGAACCAGCAGTGGACCTGTCACACCAGACCTACAAGCACGCTGTCCAGCCGGCTGCCTGTTTCCTGCGCTGTGACAGGGCCATGGGCCAACCTCATAGGGCGTGAAAAGTGAAAACCAGTTGCTGCAGCATCCACCCCAGCTCAGGGCAACCCTC